TCCTCTCTCTCCTCTCCTCTCTCACTCTCCCGTCTCTCACTCGTGCTGCCGCTCTGTCGAACGTGGGATAGGTACACAGGAGGATGATCAGAGCGGGAGAGGCGAGAGAGAAAGGGGGGGAGGGTGAGGGGGGAGATACCAGAAGTGGGTGACCCGGTCCCCGCCGGCCTGGTTGTGGCGAGGCGGGAGGGGGAGGGCTGGCCGGCCGGGTGGCCAGCTAACGGTACCTGGAGAGCGCAGGCCCCGCCGCGCCGCGCCACGCGGCGGCATGGGCGGCGGTGCGGCGGTGAGTCAGAGAAGACTCGCTCGGGTACTCGGGTACCGGCCGGGTACTGCCCACTGAAACTCGTCCCGAGGAAAACAAAAGTTGCCGTAAAGCGTCATTTACTCGTAAAACCTAATTGTTTCAACCGTTGAAAACAGAAATCCTTGAAAAATTCAATTCCAAATTTTAGATTTTCGTCTTGTAACATTTTGAGTTTTTTTTTCAGGATTTTTGTACACGCTTAAAAATAGCGATTAGATTGCTGTTCTTATTTTGTTCGTGATAAGCTAACAGCTTTTGTTGCTGAGAGTGTTGCGCCCGCGGCCTAGTGGTGTCGAGGGGGGCTCGCTGGGCTGGTCGCCTCAGGGCGTGGAAAAATGGGGACACACGTGTAAACGTACGATGGTTGTAAGCCCGTGGGAAGAGCGACACGGACTAGCTGCAGCGCAATGGCAGAGACAGGATCCGGTCATCAAGGGGTGTTCCGAGGGGCGAGGGGTGTTCCAGATTCGGCGCAAGGTGTGTTCAAAGAGCGATGGAACAACAGCGCCGGCCCGGGACGGTGCCGAGCAGCAGCAGCGCGCGAAGTCGAGCGGAGTCGAACGGGCAGAGCGCCGTGGGGTCGCAGGGTAGGCCACCCGCTCCGCTGACGTGCGCAGCGGCCTTCGAGTTGCCTACCCAGCAGGCGCTCCCGTCCTCAGTGAGACTAGCCGAGTGCAGAGCGCCCTCCTCTCGTTTTTGCGCGTCACGGTTCTTCTTCTTTGGGAGCGCCGCGTTGAAAGGGGTCCTAAAATTTAAAGGTTTCGCTGTTCGTACTAGGGCGACGCGCGGAGACTATGTATTGAAAGGAGAGGTGAGCACGCAGAAGCACCAGATCTGGACGGGTTCTCAAACTGTGGCTTGTTTGGGAGTTTTGAACGTGGCGGGCGAAGCGCCAGCGGGCAAAATGCGCCGGACTGAAAGGGTTCGCAACGAGATACTGTAGAAGAAAAATTAGTAAATCTGATTGAAATTTTTAATATAATTATAATATTCTTGTAACAAATCTTTGCGGACTGATGCAATAGAGAAAAGAGTGATTTAGGACGCAGCATTAGCGCCACTTAGACCCCGACATGAACTTAAGTGTGCTCAGTTTCGTATACTCCTTGAACCTGAATCAATATCAATGCACAAAGAAAATATCAGTTGTGAGGGAGTTTTAGGGACTTGATGTACCGAAAGAGCTGAAAGATGATCTAACCAGATTCCTCCAACAGACCTCCGAGCAGCGGGTTCCTTGGCCTCCGCGCGCTAGCTGCGGCAGCTGCCCCGTGTCCAGGCGACCGAGGACGACGGCACGACCCCGGCGACGGCGGCAGAGGTCAATGGCGCGGCTGGCGAGCCTCTCCAGCTCTAGCCGACGCGCCAACACTTTCTTTTTCCTTGTTTCTGCAGTGGGAGAGGATGCACTGCACACCGCAGGGCCCCGGGCCGCGGCGAGCCGCGCAGCCGCGCCACCGCGCCGCGGAGCTGAGCAGCCGCCTTATTTCTGCCTGTCAGGTGGTGGATGCGCAACTTTCACTTCTCCGGCCTTTTCACGATGTTGGTCCGCGGCGCCGCGCCGCCCCGCCCCGCCCCGCCTCTAGGCGGGCGCGGAGGGGGGCCTGCGTGGTGGCAACGTACTCTGGCGGTGCAATGCCCTGGCCGAGCTCCTGGCCGAGCTCCTGGCCGAGCTCCCCGCCGTCCCCCGTGCTCATGGTTCGCCCGTGTTACAGGTGGTTCCCGGCTGGCCCCCGCCATGCTGGCGCTCCTCTCCGGCCCGGCTGGCCCGGCCCCTACGCCGCCGTCCTCATCCGGATGACAGGACAAGGGACCCCGCGCCGCCTCGCCATTGGGACTAGAGGATCCTAGCCTTGATGGACTGCAGTGAGACCGCCGTGCTGATCGGCAACCGCTGCGGCCTGTGGAGCGGCCTGCCGGCCCTGCCCCGCACCGCGCCGCCCCGCTCGGCGCCGCTGCGCCCCGCGCCGCCCCGCGCCAACCCCCGGCCGCCGCCCGCGCAGCCCCCGCCGCCGCCCGCCGCCAGAGCGTCCCCCGGCTACCAGATGAAGTTCCAGGGCGGCGACTCTGAGCTGCTGGGCATGCCGGCCGACTCCCTCCTCATGGGCACCATGTCGTGCTGGGGCTCGGGCCTCTCCGGCCTGTCCAGCCCCGACCAGTATAAACTTCTTCTCGACGAGGACAAGTCCTCGCTCGATTCCCTCGACTCCAAGGTCGCCATGGACACCTTGGATAGCCTGCTACTGTCGTCCACGGACGACGTGGCGGATTGCGACGACGTCGTCACCGAGGACAACTTTGCCGAGCTCAAGCCGCTGCCGCCCTTCACGGGGTACACCGGCCACCTGAGCATAAACGGTATCTCCGGCCACCACTATCATACCATAGCGGCGCCGCTTTCGCCCGACCCGGGCCTGGTGGAGACGAGCCTGGAGAACAACAACAACACCCAGGTGACGAACCACAACCACGTCCACACGTCGGACTCGGCGTCCACGGCGTCGACGACATCCAACGCCTCGAGCGTGGGTCTGTCCTACTACCAGGACCACCATGTTGTGTCGTCGAGCACGGGCTGTGGCCTGGACGACATCAAGGAGGAGGCCTCGGACTACACGAGCTTACTTGACAACGAGGACATCGCGGCGCTCATCGGGTCAGCCATCGCGGACACGACCGTGCCGAGCGTGGTGGACAGCGTCAACGACGTGGGCGATGCCTCCCGCGACTCGTGGATGGACCTGGACGCGTGGATCGACACGGCGTGCTCCAACGACAACAAGTCCACCATGCTGCCCGTGTCGCTGCAGGACTTCTCCGGGACGCAGTTCAGCCCGCCCCCGCCTCCGACCGCCACGCCCGTGCCGCCCGCGCCCACCACGCTGCAGTCGCTGCTCGGGTACTCGGTGCCGCAGCCGCCGCAGCCGATGCTCGTGAAGCGCGAGGCCACCACGTCGTGCTCCTCCTTCACGTCGAGCGGGCTGCTGGCCGTGAAGCGGGAGGCGACCACCTCGTTCCCCGGGCCTCCTGGCGGGCCACCCTCCTCCCTCCTGCACAGCAGACTGCAGAACGGGCCGCCCGCGCGCGCGCCGCCCAGCCCGCCGTCGCACGTCGTGTCCACGACGGACCCCAGCCACGGCCTGCGCTACCACTACTCGCCCACCTCCACCACGCCCAGCCCCGTCAGCACCAAGAAGTCGCGGAACCGCAACAAAAATAAAAACAGCGGTGGCAGCGGGGGTGGCGGCGGGGGCGGCGGCGCCTCCAGCTCCGGGGGCGGCAGCGTGGCCTCCAGCTCCAGCCTCGTGTACACGGCCGACGGCCTCCTGGGCAAGGAGAAGCCCGTGCACCGCTGCACCATCTGCTCGCGAGGCTTCCTCAACAAGAGCAACATCAAGGTGCACCTGCGCACGCACACGGGCGAGAAGCCGTTCCGCTGCGAAGTCTGCGGCAAGGCGTTCCGACAGAAGGCGCACCTGCTCAAGCACGCCATGATCCACAAGCGCATCGGGCGGGACGACCCGCACGGCTACCCCCACGAGCTGCGGTGCGACTAGGGTAGGCAGACTTAGTGCATGCGCGTGGGTGAGTGAGTGCGTCGTGTGCTTTTGTAAATGATGATAATTTCGTTTTTATTTTTCTCTTGTCGGTTGTGATTCACCTTGTTTTCTGTTGGTTCTACTGTAATTTATTATTCTGTTTTTATTTTTACATATTATATATATATATTTATGAAATGTGCGGTTGTTTCTGTTATGTGTACATTAAAAACTCGGGTACCTTCATTCTGACTCTATTCAGAAATTCGCCGCAATGGAATCTCGTCTCGGGAATGATGAGGCCTTCTGGTCAGTAAATCTCAAAAGCAATCGCGAATGATATTAATTGTCAATTGTGAGTCTCTCAGATTTAATTTAAGTATTTATTTAGCGTAAGGGCCCAAACAAACTTAAACAGTATTAAATAAATAAATGGCGCGCCAAATTATTGTCATCGCTAATACGCGTTCGGCAGAAGACTTGCTCTCCTTGTTTTCTTTTCTTCGGACGCGAATGTTTGAGGCTAGAGCCTCCTATTCGTTAATCGTTTGCTCTTGTAAGCGGAATAGTTTAACAGGCTGTGGCGTCAAATCAATACTCACGTACTTCCCCCTGACAGAAAAGAAAACCAACGGTTCAAGTCCTTTTTTGGCTGAAGCTAGTTTAATGATAGCCAAACTATCTTCACTATGTGCAATTCAAAAGTTTAGGTTTGAATCGCGGGCTAGTAACCAAAGTGATGCATGACTGAGATTGAATGATTTGACTAGTATTTTCGTATGGTATCAAAGGGGTACTTTGGCCTCAAACGCCTTACTTTTTGAGTACTAAATTTAATTTTTGAATACAATCAGACCTGTGACTTTTGTCTGAACCGTACTAAAACGTTATGGTCTGTACTAGTTTTCAGCTTTTGCACTTAATTTATAATTTTGTGGGTCTTCCACGTCCCTGTTAAGGAACAAAACCTCGCTATAGGGCGTGCCCAGTGGCATGTGATGTAGGTTAGGTGGGGGTAAGGAAAGGACAGAGAGCGCCGGGAGCTGATCTCAACCCTGGAATCTCGATAACCCAATCCGTATGTTTTATGGTAAATTTTCTGACGTGTTAAATTTATTTTTGTATATGTTTTGTATTATATGACAACGTGCAATCTTTTTGAGTTGGAATATTTTCCGTATTCGTACCGAGTTAAGACTGGTTGTCTCCCATCACACACTCTCATTTACAGGCAACCAAGAAAATTCACTGTGTTGGTACAAAGTCTCTTTCCAATATTTTAAATTGTGACTCCCGTAGCTGTAAGAGGCGTAATTTATTTTTCAGTTTTAACTTTGTCTTTAAGGGACCATTCCAATTGAGGCGAAACTACACTATTTCTATTTTCCATTAGATTGTAAATAAGATTAAATATTATTTTGTAAACTTTGTATATAACTAGATCATATGGAATTATTTATATATTATAATATTTTTCTAATGTCTCTTTTCTGTATACTCTGTTGACTTTTTTCTTAACATAGCGATCCAAAGGTCGTTATAAACCACCCTATCCCTCTCTTCTCAGCAAACAACGAATGTTAAAATGCAATTAATTTATTTTGAGTGGGAGATATTGTGATTTGTGAACTCGATGTACTTCTGGATTCTTTGTTTATCTTTAAGCAATTTAGATTTACCCTTGATTTTCTAACTATTTGACCTCTGGAGGCGCCAGAGAGTAATCTTTGTATAACTCTTGCGGCCAAAGGAAGTGGCTGTCTTGTTAAATTTCATTTTTGGTCTGACATGTAAAACAAAATCTCTTGTCCGTTGCTACAATTTGTACCTCCTAAATTGCGGGAAAAAACAAGATACCGTTGTATATTGATTGTGTTGTTTTCTTTATTAAAGTAAGAAGTTGTTGAACAAAACCACCGATGTGTCCCGTTTATTCCCTTTCCCAACTACTTAAAACGACGCCAGAACATAAACGTTGTTTATCGGCAGAGCCAATGAGTGGACGGAGAAACTCAGGAGAAGCAGCCAGCACGAGGCAAAGCCACAGTACAGTGTAACGTACCTACTTGTGGTTCTAGACGGTATTTAAACCGGGTCAGCGCAGCGGGGCTGGGAGTGAGACTGGGCCTGAGCGAGCGCTGTGGGGCACCTCAACGCAGGCAGGGTGACCATAGCTGGGCAGAGACACAGCGCTCGGCGGCGGCGCACTCTTCGCGATCACACCTCAAATACAAAAATTTTAAAGTAGCGTTCGTGACCCAAAATTTGAGGTTTCGTAATGAACCTTTCCTCCGCTGTTCATTTGTATTCAATAGTGCTCATTGCAATTTCATGAGTTAAACCTCAAATAAAATACAAACATGAGAACCGGTGCCGGCGCAGAGTCCCAAATAGAGTGACTGCGCTGCGGCCTCGTCAGGACCCGGGAAATGTCATCAAGATGACGGTATCGCGCAGCCCGAGGCAGTTCCGGGACGACGCTGCTGGTTAAGGGGAGGTCCATGCGCCGTGGGATGAGGGTGAGCGCCGCGAGTACAAGGCGTCCATGAGCGTGCAGATTGGCCGCATAAGAGAGCACATAGTCATTGTAAAAAAATCGTTGTTTAGGTTTTCTGGGAAAATTTTCCATTCGGCGTGTCGTAAGAGAACAATTTAAAACGGTAAAATTGAAAGCAAAATGTGTATTGACTTAGAAAACATCGGCGACCAAGAATTCAACTTCATGGCCTTTGATAAATTTATAACATATTTTGGAAATATTAATTACAATATATATTTTAATTTCCACTGTGGTCGATAACGCAAAGCATTCTCGTTCCGACGGGTAGCCCTCGATGGAACGAACACACTTCCAAAGGGGCACATTTTGCCGGAGCTGTGCCGCGGTCTGATGATAACAGGAGCCCAAGGTGAGTGCCACGCTGCCATCCGTTCCACCCCCACCGCGCCGAGACGCCCCGTCCCGACACCGTTTTACGCATCAAGGCAAAAAAATAAAAATAATAATAATCAAAGTACGAATCATGATACCCCCAGAAAATGATAGTCTTGGAACAAGGCGAAATGCGTTGCTTCAACGCTATTTTTATTTCAAAAAACTGCAAGGAAAATAGCCTTTAACTTAGGGCAAAGGATACAATTTTCTGGGTGTAGCAGATGATACAAATTCAAGAATTGTGCTGTGCTCTATGCCTCTTTTGCCTTTCTCCGACGTCGTGGATCTCGGTGATCTGAACTGATGATCTCCGGCCCTGTATTCTGTATGCTCATCTGGCCTCCCACCGTCGTCGGGGAGCACAGGCCAGCGGACACATCAAACCGTGACATGTCTAGTTAACTATTAGTTAGTTATGTCCTAGTTCAGTTGTAGTCTAACATCTCATTGGTATCATCTGCTAACAATCGAAAAGGTCAGGAGCGCGGCGTGACAGGCCGGGGGCGCGCGCCGCGCGTCTAGTCTTTCCGTCACGCCAACTGAGACCTTTTTTTTCCGACCATTGCACTTATAGCTCTGTTTCTTCCTTGGCCTCACTGCTTTGAGACTTTCGATCTGAGGCGCCAACTTCGTCTATGATCGGCTCCGAGGGGATCTGAGATGGAGACACGGAGAAGAGAGGGGGGAAGGGAGAAGAAGAAAAAAGTGAATCTAGCGTTGTCACACGGGCGATAGTAAAGAAGGGAATCAGACGGCACCGTTATCTCTGTTATTGCTTCCAGTCGGGCGATCACACGGGGGTTGGGCTCGGCCCTCGAACGACGGGTCCCGCCCGGCCCTTTGGGCACAGCAGGCGGAACGAACGGGCGTGGTGATAGGCCCGGGCCGGGCCGGCGGGCGCAGGGCGTGCGGCGTGGCGGCGCGTGGCGGCGCGGGGCGGTGCGGCCACGGCCGTGGCGTGCAGCGCGGCGTGCAGCAGCAGAGGGGCGTGCAGCAGCAGCAAAGGGGCGTGCAGCTTGGCCAACGCGTTGCCACACTCCGGTGCAATATCCCTGTGACCTTGTCTGGGCCCGACACAGAGAGGCGTGCCTCCCCCTGGACAAGACAGGACGCCCCCGCCGCCCCGTCCCACCCCGCCCCGCCGCGGGGGCTGGCCGCAGGCATGAGAGTGGTTGTTCGTCCAGTCCGTCCCACTTTATCGTAGAAAGGGGAGGAGGCGACGACGGCTCGACGAGGGGAGGTGTTTGCGTTTGTAGTGCTGACGTGCCGCGGGAAAAATTTCACTTTTTTCCCGGGCCGATGTGTGTCCAGTAAAGCAGTCCGGCCAGAGGCGGCTGGACGAGGGGAGGCCAGCGTTTCGTAGAATCCAGAACACCAGAACCGGACTTGGGCCGGCCCCATCCCGGGCCGGTCCTCCCGGACCAAGGACCATGGCATTGTCGACCAGGCGGGGTGGGTCGGGGTGGACGAAGGACGCGAGGGCCGAAACTGATGTCGACCCGTCCCAACAAGAGAGCTTGCCTGAGGCGCGTAGCGTCCTCCTCACAAAATTCTATCCAGCGCAACGTAGCCTGTAGCGTAACGTTTTTGCCAAAGCCTATCAGCAAAACAAGGTAGCCTGCAGCCCTTCACATTTGCGATTTGCCTTTTATGCAAGTTACCAGAACATTTAGGCCAACATATCCAGGTACAGTAAGATTGGCCACTAAAAGGAAGGTAGAAACGAGTAGTTGCAGAGCAACATACAGTTCTATTAAGGTGTCCCAAAACCTGCGTTTTGCAGATAGTACGTCGTTGCAAAATCGCTGCCGTGTAGTTATGATTTTGGGGAGTGGTTGTACAAGTGACCCATGTTTTCTAAGATAGGGATGACCCGAGGATACCATGAATATCCAGCGAATTTTATGTTGTTTTGTGTACCTCGCGCTGCAAAAAAAAGCAAAAAAAAAAAAGCTTGTGTGTCGTTTTTTTATTGCTTTTCAGGACCCCCCTCTCCTGCACACACCAGGAGGACACGCCCGTCAGAAGCAGGACGCACAGGCCGCACAGGCCGCACATGGAGCGCATCCTGGAGCATGTCATCCGGCGATTTCAGCTTGCGGCAAAGAAAAAACAAGGCCACGGTGCCACGTACTGTGAGGCAAGCTGCCCAGAGAATCAATGACAAACATAGAGATAAACATAAAGTCTAACGCGAGTCCAAGATTACGGGAGGAGATCCGACTTAGGTGTCAATAAGAGCTAAAATTTTGCAAAGTGTCCAAAATTTTACACCTAGGACAAAGACCCTTCACAGTCTGTACGCGTCACGCAGCACTGTTCGCTGTTTTTGGCCAGCAAGGCAAGGCGGTCCAAATAATTTTCATCCCTACTCAACAAATTCCATGCAGACAAAACGTTTGAAAACTGTGAGTTTGACTCAATAAACTTAATTGTTATTATTGTTATTTTAAGAAACAGACTAATCATGTTTACATTGTGTGGCTACGGCAGCCGTGCGGGTCGCCGCGCTCTGCCCGTGATAACCTCTTCTATCCGCAACAAACATACGATTCATGAGCCTGTCGGGGCTGCGGGGCGGGGGTGGGGGCGGGGGAACTGCTATTAGCCATGGGAGCGCTGTGGTCGTGGCGGGGCGGGGTGGTGCAGCATGTGCCGTGCATGCTATCAGCAGGTGGGATGCGGGGCCCAGCCGCCCAGCCCAGCCTGGCTCAGGCTACCCGTGGATGCCCGAAGTGTGTCGCGGGGTCGAGTCCGAGCGAGCAGCTGAGCAGCAGCAGCAGCAGCAGCGCCAACCTCATCTCGCTCACACTCTCACACAAATGGGCCACGTGCAAGCTGCAGGGATAAGAGATGCTGTTTCGTCCGTTCGTCCGTCCGTCTGTACGAGGTGGCCGATTAAATCCCCATCCACTTCTGTAGTTTTATACCACATGCTACACCGGTCCGTTGTAGTAACAAGCGACACGACCATGTGTAGCTTCGTTATCCGAGTCAACTGTAGAACAAGAAGTCAGCCCGCTCACGCCTCTTCCCCGGACGGTATTCGAACCAGCGATTTGAGGGATTATTGTTTTGTTGTTTGTTGTTTTTTTTCAAAAAATATACATTTTGAGGCGTCGGAAACTTCCAACTTTTCCAAATTTGACGCTTTACTCCTTAATCGGCATAACGGTACCCATTAAATGAACAGAAAAATCTATTTTGTTTAGCAAATAAGTTAGCAAGAGTAGTGCGGGCGGGGGTGGCATGGGGTCGGACGGGGAACCAAAAGTAGCTCGTGAGATCAGGGCAGCACGGCCCACCATCTCGGCCCGGGGCAGGCTGGGGCCGGCCGGGCCGGACACAATGGGTATGGGGCCGGGCCGGGCCGCACAGGTGCCCGCCGCCGCGACACGGGGCGGAGATCCGATCTGGTTGCCGTGCTCGGCCGCCCCGCCCGCCCCGCCCGCTGCGCCGTGCTCACGACGGCACCCCGTGCCATTTCTCCCAGGGGCATTCCTCACATATGTGTCCCGGCCGCGGCGCTACAGCCGGGGCGGGCGACGCCAGCAGCATCTCAGGCCGGCACACCCGCGCGCCTCAAATCGGCTATTGAACGGGGTGAAAAATACAAATGTATCATCTGCTAAAAATGCCTAGCGCAGCGCAGCAGGCGCTCCGGGTGTGGATGGGCGAGAAACTGCTATGATCGCGGAAGATCGCCGCCGGGCTCTTACGGGGTGCCGTGCGGGAGGAGGGAGCACTGCCCGCCCGCGCCGTGCTTGTATTTGTTGTTGTTTTTTGTCTTTTCCAGCATTCGGTCGAAGACTGCACGCCCGCATGCGGCGATGCATTTTCTGTCATCGATCGTCAACCATTCAGTTTGCTTAGTATCGACTGTGCGATTAGCTGGATTTAGCCCCAGATATTTCACAGTCGGCATCGACTCCACAGCACCAAATCCCCGCCGCAGTAGCGGGGTGCGGACCGATCTGAAGT